TAAAATAAAAAATTTATATCTTTATGTTTGAAGCCTGAAATGTGGCAAAAGGTTGAAAAGTTCAAGGGGGCCGAATACTTTCGCAAGGCACTGTATATTTGTGTCTAGTCAGCATAAAAATAATAGTTCAGGCCATGTCATCTTAAAAGCTGACCAAGTGGAAACATGTAAATGCTGAAAAGTAGGGGACCGAGTATCAAGCCCTAAGGAACACCAGACAGAATCCAATTTCACCTGAATTGTAACAGTGTGTTCTAGAATTTTTGCAAGAAAGGGTAAGTTGGAGGTGGGGGCGAAAATTGTTTAGATTGTCCAGAGCCATGTCAGGCTTTTTTGGCACAGGGGTAATGGCAGCAGGTTTGAGGACCGTTGGTACAACGCCAGTGCTCAAGGATTCATTTATAATATGGAGGACAACAGGGCAGAGAGAAGTAAAACATTATTGAAATAAAGTGGTGGCAACGGGATCTAATATACAGGGGGTGGATTTCAATGGATACAGAGTCAAGAAGAGAGAAGTTAGAAAGAAGGGAACCAGTAATGTTAAGCAAGCAGGGGGGAGGTGTGCTATCTCTTGCGCACATTGCACTATCTATACCCCTTAATCACTTACGTAGATATTAAGCCCTCTACTCTCACTGCTTCCATTTTACCTGTCCCAATGTCCTCATGTGTGTGCCTTGTGACATAGGCCTTATTGCAAAATGCTGGGTAAAGTCCTGTCTTGTGGTCTTTGCTTATGGGTTAGGCTCTGGGTTACTGTAGTCCTTATAAGGAACAAGCTGCATTATCATAATGGGTAAAACTACCAGTAAGATCTGTTTAATTTTTTTTTCTTAAGCTGTGGTTGATATTTAACGGAATACAATATGTACTTCCCCTTACAGTACATAACAGGATAGTTCATCCTGGAACAAGAGCAATGATAAAGCTAGTAATAGTATCCTTCATTTCACAATATGTGGTGATGCTGTTTGCCTTTTGTTTGTTTTTTTAAACGATACTTCCTTGCATTCATTTTAAAGGATTCCAGAACTATTTACATATAGGAGGGGAGTGACTTAAACTCCCAATCTTATCTGGAACTTACGTAGGGAATGGGTGGAAGTTATTCAGAAGTCCTGATGCCCATGAGCTCAGGTGGAGGAGTGAAACATTGCTTTAACAATCGCACTAACTCTTACTACTTCTTTTATAAACTCACAATTCTGTCTTGTCCTGGGAACAAGGTTCTCTCTGTTACTCAGAAATTGGAAATATTTTAACTTTATTTTGTGTCTAGTGATTCAGCAGAACTTTCAAGTTTCTTCTATTAACAATAAAGATATGAAACCGCAATCGGTCTTTGGGTTGCTCAAGGTAACATCAGTAATTAGTTGTTTCGCACAATAAAAAATAAGATATTTAAACTTTAGAGGGTGATCCTTAGGAACAATGTCATTTTAAGGCGATTTATAACAGGTGTGCATGTAGATGAGTTGACGCATATAGAGCCAACTTCGAGAAACAGAACAAACAAGGTAGCAAATGTCACAAAAAGGAAAACAGGACTGATCTGATGAAAAGAAGAGACATCTTCCTGTAGCGCTGAAAGTTGAGATGTTTATTAAGTGTCTCAGCCTCTGCCTTCTTCAGACAGCACAATCTGATTAGACACACCTGGTCATTGACAAGCCTCTGCTGTTGTCCTCCATTTGGATAACTGGACGGTAAACTCCACAGTCAGTGGAGTAGGCTGGCTAGGGGCGACCTCTGTTACTGCTTCCACCTCATTGCTTTTTTTTGCTTTGCCTTTACCTGAATTGAGACATGAATGATCAATATAGTATTGCAGAATCTCAATCTCAGCTGCACACAAGGCAATACTATAGAGACAACTTACAAAGCTTTAAGTAAATTGTATCCTTGCTTCACTGCTTCAAGATATATAAGCAAATTCCAATGAACTTGTTTCACACACCTACTCTTCAGATGTACCAGGTAGATGATTAATTTTACTGGTTTCCTTCGTGACATATTAACTTGTTACTTCATTTTTATGAGGTGTAACCTACAGTAGCTCTCGCTACTGACAAACGTCTGTGTAATATCATGGTCACCTTGCTTTACCAAAAAGGAGAGCAGCTTTTCTAAGACTGTCAATATTTCGTAATGAGAATAAATCGAGGGTCTTTCTGAATGCAACACAAAATTACATCACTTGGTCAATAAGAAGGTCTAATTTCAAGTTAAAAAATCAGAGAAATGTTGAACGATTTCTTCTCTCCCCACTCTGGAAATGGAGACGAGGCAAAGCCCTCTTTTTCATGAGGGTGCACGTAGCAGAGTTTTGTAGGGACAGTTGATCTCAGGTTTCCTGATGGGTCACATTGGTATTTACCTTTAGGAGAGGAGCTGGATCTCTGACTTGCTGTACTGTCTTTTCCCGATTTGGTCTTCTTCTCATCTTTGACTTTTTTTATACTTTCCTGGAAGGAAATGAAAAGGCAGGGATGTGCGACAAATACTTTTCTACCCAGCGGACAAACACAGGAAGGGCCATGTTTAATAAAATGCATGTAAAGGTAGATAAAAATGGTATATGAAAAATTCTGTAGTATTTTAGTGTTCACAGCCTTATCACACCATGCATTTTTAAATGTTATTTACCCTAAAATGGTTTTATAGCTACTGTAACATTGATTTCCATCCATTTTAGCCTGTCCTGGACACACGGGGGACAAGGCAGGACTACAGTGTGGGTGGAATGTCTGTCTATCACCCACACAAGCTCACAGGGACAATTTCAATACAAGTCCCCTAGCAGGTATGTCTTTTGGAAGGGACAGGAAAAGAGAACACCTGGAGAAATGCCATGTAGATACAGAGAGAACATTCATACTGCATGTGGTAACATTCATTTGCACAAATTCCTCTTATGAAAGATTTATGGCTACTCTATATTGCATCTGGCTAATGCCAAAACTGACGGTGAGATGCTTCTTCTCATCCTCAAGGCTTAATTAAACCTTTCCCCTTTCTTGTGAGTCCTGTTTTTGGTAAGCTGTTTGTGTTTTTTTAAATGAATTACAAAATAATAACAGTGTTCCTACAGTATGTGTGCTTCTGCACATTCTTTTTAATGATATGATAAGTGCAGCAACCAGGTAGACACAAGACACATGGCAAATATAGGATGAGTCACACATATGTCAAAGAAGCTGCAAATGAATGAGATTCGAGAGTTTAGAAAGCTTATAAATAATGTAGGGAAGTAATAAGAGGCCAGAATCAATGGAAACCATCCAATGCAAATGTTTGACTTGTGTAATATTTTGGCAACAATTTTGCAAGTAGGACATTGCTGCCAAAGAGAACCAGGCAACCAGAGCAACTAGTTTAGTTCCTTATCTAAGAATGTGTTAGACACAGGGAATGTTGAACTAGTTCAAGTAGTGGTGTTTAAATGTTATTTACCCTGCAAATAATTTAAAGCAAATAACATTTAAAGTGTTGATGTTTGAAGTTACTTAAACACAAGAGATTATGAGGAGACTTACCCAAAGAACAATAATAATTCCTTACACTTAGTGTACACATAGTGCTTTTCTGGACATTCAACTCAAAATGCTTTATAGGTAATGGGGACTCCCCTCCACCACAAATGTGTAACCCCCAAAGTGCGCCACTACTCTCAGCACACATCAGCTATGAGTGGGTTGGAGAACAGAGTAATGAAGCCAATGTATACAGTGGATTGGGGTTATTAGAAGGCTATGATTGATAAAGATCAGGGGAATATTTGGCTAGGACACTGGGGTCACGTTCCTACACTTTTTTAAAAACCACCTTGGGATTTTTAATGACCACGGAGAGCAGAACCTTGGTTTTAAAGTACATCTCATCCGAAGCATGGCACCTTTTTAATTGGGACACTAGGACCCACACAGACTGTCCCACTAACACCTTTTCCAGCAGCATCCTTAGTATTTTCCAGGAGGTCTCCATCATCCAGGTACTGACCAGGCTCACACCTGCTGAGCTTCAGTGGGCTGCCAGCTGTGAGCTGCAGGGTGATATAGCTGTTGGCAAAGTTCAGAATCCTGAATGATACTGCCCAAGATGATCCATTGAATTATGTCAGGGTCAGCAATGACATGTAAGACTCACATTTACACAAATTTAAGGCTGAGAGCAGTGAACATTTAAATAAACACAATAATAGTAGGTTTCTGCCCAGCTTTTTGATTTTAACCGATTCCTTCGGATCTCTCTGTAAACATCTGAATAGGATCCTCTGATCAATTCGCTTCTAGAAATCAAGCAATCAGGATGAGTGGTCTCCTTTCTTTTGTAACCTTTCTCATTATTTGTCTTAATTTGATTTAATCTCTTTTTCAGTACTGATTTAAGTGCATTACCCCTTTTTAAAAACAGTTCTCCTGCGAATTAAAAGCGAGGACTCTAAGAAATAAAGCTGTCTTCTGCAATATGTAAAGCACCGCACCTGTTTCCGTGTGTGCTAACGTCAAAGTGTGCGGTACGCCCGCAGGATACCTGGGACTGAACGACGATGTACCTTCTCCCCAGCAGGCAGTGGCCGGGCAGCCTGACTGGTCTGGAGAACGCCACAGTCACACACCGTCTCGATGTGCCCCTCTCCGGACAGCAGGCTCTCCAGCGCCACCCAGGCAGAGCCCAGGGTCCGTCGCACGGGAGGCTCCTGAATCAGCTCTAGCTGAGGCTCCTTCTTCTTCTTGTCCTTCGGCTTTCCCTTGCCGTCCTGGGACAGGGGGCAAACGGGGGACATGTTCACGTGTCCATGGGCCTCAGCAAACAGCCTCTCCTTCTTCTTGTTTAGCTTCATCCTCAGTAGTTTAACTATCTCCTAAATCCGTTATAGCGCCTCAGTGCAGCTGCAGCTTGCTTTTTTTACATTTTCCTTTACTCGATGTGAAGCGCTTTGAAATAGTTGGGCAAAGCATTATATAACAGACGCTAGACAGGTACAGAATTCGCAATAATGTGATGTTTTCCTATCACTACTAAAGTGATGACATAAATATCTGCCTTGAATATCTGTCCTTATGATGTCTCTATGACGACATAATAAGCTGCCTTGTCCAGAAACTAACAAAAAGTTCACCTATTATGTTACAGTAGCATTGTCTGTGTTAGTTAATCTGTGTTATCAGATAATCCTGTTTTAGAACACAGTGGCCTCCAGTCTCCAAGGCAAAGCATTCTACTACTGATGATACTACAGAACTAGAATGTTCAGAAACCAGATATCGTGCATCGTTTTGCATATTGTAAATGATGAGGGATACCATTATGAGTGTGAACTGAGCATGTTACTCATTTAACTGAACAGCATGGGTTTCAACAGCTTGTAATGTTGACTTGTCTATTGTGGGGCCTAGATTCAGAGATGTATTAGTGTTTTAATATTAAAGAGTCTAGTCTGAATTACAGAAGCAGATCCTAAAATCTACTTGCCCTGTTTATGCCTGTGCAGTAAATAGATTGATACATCTACCTCTTTCCTTTGCGTCACCAATTTTTTAAAAGGAAGATTTTGAAATAAAACCGTCTTTCTCAGAAGGAAATATACAAAACTTTCCATGGTTAAGTAAAGGACCTTCTAAGTATCCAAACAGGAACAAGCTGAACAAAAACACATTTTTTGACAATTAGTTTTCCAAGTCAGCGCATAAAAGCTGTCAGATCACAGGTGATCTTGCTTCATTGGTTCCTCGTACCCTGGTGGAGCTCATCTCAAACTGAAGAGCCCCTCTTTTATTTCTTTACCTCTTTCTCCTTCCCTGCTCCCTTCTTGCCGGATGTTGGTTTTGTACCAGTGTTCTCTCCAGTGTTGGCTGGCCAGGACAGGACCTCAAGACCCATACAGACAACACATTAAATGAAGGGTGAGTCATTAAATGGTGCTTTCATACTGCACAGCTCTTGAATTTGTAATTAAGTTCTTTGGCGAATATAAGAACAGCCCTATTAATTCATATATGATTTGTAAGTTTTGCACGTTTGCATTATAATCCCTTGAAATCCATGGACTGTTCCACGAACATCAATATGGTGTATACAGAACACTAGCAAGGGGCCGGGGGCTCTGTTTGAATTCTCTAATTTAAATTCACACTTCCTAAGCAAGGCCTACAAGCCCACTTTTGCCCATTTGGTTGTAAAATATCATTTATATCTCATTATATTTTTCACATTTCAAAATATCCTGATTGCCTGAGGCTGACTGACTAGTTTATGTGGGAATCTGTGATGCAAGGCACTCTTTTAATGTTTTGTTTTTCTAATTTTCCAAGACTGAAAGTTATGGGGGACATACAAGCACAAAACAGCCTGCATGATCACTGGGCGATGAGCACTGACAAGCACGTCTCTAATGTCGAAAAAGACAGGAAATCAATTAACTGAACAAAGCGGTATACTTAAGAACGTTCTTCAAATGGAAAATGAAAGAAGGATAAATTGGCAATATATGAATATACAGATGCTATGATAAGTTGGAAAACAAGATACGATTATGGAGCCGTGCATGATTCTAGCTGCGATTGTACCTTCTGTTCTTCCACTGTCACTTGCAAACCTCTGAGGAAGAATCTTTTAAGGGCTGGCAGGTCCCGTGTTCGATGGACAGCCCTGTACTCACTGTCCATCACCTCCGTCCAAATCACACCTGGGGTACGGTGAATAGTCACTGTGAAACAGATGAACGTTTTTCATTAGTATGGAAAGCAGAAGAGTTTCCAGGACCCGTCTGGGCATGGCACAGAGCGGTGACACTTAGGGCTGATGCCTGAGAGCTCTTGGGTTCTAGGTGCGATTGTAGAGTTTGCACTCCAGGGGAGAGCCACTGTGCTCCACTGGCTGTTTTATTTGTACCAGCTGGGAATCGAACTCGGATGATTGGTTTTCTCCTACCAGCCAAAGGCTTGCTAACTAGGTGGACTGACGTCTGTAAGCTGTCCAGGGTGTGGGTCCACTCTTGCGCCCTATGCCCTCTGTGATACGCCCTCTCCACGAATAGCCTTTCTGATGACGGATGAATTTCTTTGGTCTCGACAACATCATTGCCGCTACCTACTGCTGTCGTTTACATGGCCGTGCTTGTTATTAATTAAAACATCCGCATAGAAGAGGGAAATCTAATTGCTGATTTATCAGATTTAGGAAGCTCCCCAGCCACACTGTCCACCAGCAGAACTAACACTAACTCATTATTTATTAACCCACTCCTGTTGCAAACAGTCAACTAACTTAACTGGTTAATATTTTACAATTGTTCGAACATAGCTTGAAAGAAATGGTATGTTCTCAGTGTGTTCTTTGAACCCCATTAAATGCGTATTTTCTTATTAACTACTGAAAATACTCATCATCTACAAGGAATGAAGGAAAACTGGCAGATTCTTTAAGCTTTTTTGAAGTTTCTTAATCAAACTGATCTAAGAAGCAACCAAGCAAGAAGTTTCAGTATAGTGTTTTCAGTAGACACATTTCAGTCGCACATGCAAAAGCCAAACAGGTTCTCACTTAGTTATTATGTCTGGAACATTTACCACACCCTGAAACAGTGAGCCGTAACATCAACGAGATGTGGTTTGGGAGAGGCTATGACCCAGACACTGGGGTCTACTACTTATTTTTTTCATATGAGTTGATCATGGGACCAGTGCTGTGAGGATCAAAGATCTCTCCAAACCGATGGGTCAAGTGCTACATAAGCTTGTTTGAAATTAAAAGTTTTTTTTTTTAGCAAAATGAAAGTCTTTTTTTCTTTTTCAAAGGCTCAACAACATATATGTAAATACCCTCTGTTGTTGGTACACATTTAAAATTGTATGCAGTGTAAAATGATCTATATTTAAGAATATGAAATTGACCATACTATTTTTTCCTGAAGAGAAGAGTTTAAACCGACACAGAAATAGAGTGAAATGGGTTTTGTTACAATAAGAATCAGGATTTAAACACACACTCATGGAAACAAAACATCCCCCTACATACCAGCACCTACATAGAGTCAACATTAAAAGAACAACTCTCAGAAAGATTGTAGCTGTTAGAGATTAAATTGGGAACTATCGGTTTGGAGAGATTTTTGATCCTCAGAGCTCAGACATGTTCCCTGAAACAGTATGCCAGTCTCTTTCCTGTCTCACCAAGTTCCCTTGGAATAGCCATCAACACAGTACTTGTCTGCTGTCTTTTATTTGACTTGGTTTCTTTCCTGCCACAACATAATCTTGACTCCTTCTTGCTTGTTCAGGGCCTGCGGCCCTCCAACGATAGTTGCCCCTGGTGTGAGTTGAAACAGTTAGCCAGGTCCTACATTATCCATGTCAAAATCATTCTAAATCCTATGTCCTCCAACTTTGCCTCAGCCATCATGTAACCTAAGGGCTCACCTTTCCTGATCCTTATAATTTCCAGAAAAACTTAAAACTGAGGTTCTGACTCTCTGTGGTCACTAAAAATCCCAGGGTGTTTCTCGAAAAGAGTAGGGGTGTAACCCCGGCGTCCTGGCCAAACTTCCCATTGGCCCTTACCAAACATAGCCTCCTTATAATCCCCATCTATGAATTGGCTTCATTATTCTGTTCACCTCCCCACTAATAGCTGGTGTGTGGGGAGCATTCTGGCGCACTATAGCTGCCATTGCACCATCCAGGTGAGGCTGCACATTGGTGATGGTTGAGGGGAGACCCCATTACTTGTAAAGCACTTTGAGTGGAGTGTCCAGAAAAGTGCTATATAAGTGTAAGCAATTATTATTACTTATTATTATAGCAGTGATAATAACATGACAGGTGAAATTTTGGGGAGTGCACTGACCCTCTATTCCATCAGGAGGCGCTGTCCGCAAAGGGTAGTTGCCGGATTCCTCATGGCTGTCCCTCTCTGAGGACTGGGGTTCCTGAATGATCTCTCTAGCTCCTTCTGTTCCGGTGAACACAGTCGGGTCTGCAGGGTTTTTGAGGCTACTGCTTTTTTGTTCCTGCCAGAACAAAGCATTCGTGTAGTTAAAATGATGGGCAAATAAAGAACAGTTTAGCTACTGCTACCACCCCGATATCGATTGTGCATACACATCAAGTTCAATTTAAGATATCCATTTTCACGAGCAAGGTGCAAATTAAGCACTCTGTGAGCACCGCTGTTTGAAAATCCTGGCAAGTTCTCACAATAGTTTCAAACTATTTCAAACTATACCTGATGAGGAACTTACTGGGAGCCCGTCTGACTCGTACTCTGTCTGCTGCACCAAAGCCAGGGGATTATATCCAAGAAACTCATAGGTGATGAGGAAGCTGTAAGCTATGAAGGGAAACTCGTTTGCTGTCTTTTCTGCCTCCAAACAAGGATCTGGAATTCCTTTCAATTCACCAATCTTCACAATTACCACACCTTCTTCTGCAATTAATTCTGAAAAAACACAAAACCGCATATTCACACACTTGTTGGACAAGCGCCTGCAGGACAAAAACAAGCTGTGAGGACTCACAAAAACAGCTCTCTTTTATTTGCACTTACATGCCAGCATGCCATATCATGCCAGCAGCCATATCACCCTGCAACTCACAACTGGCAGCCCACTGAAGCTAAGCAGGTGTGAGCCTGGTCGGTACCTGGATGGGAGACCTCCTGGGAAAAACTAAGGTTGCTGCTGGAAGAGGTGTTAGTGGAGCCAGCAGGGGGCGCTCACCCTGCAGCTCATGTGGGTCCTAATGCCCCAGTGTAGTGACGGGGACACTATACTGTAAACAGGCGCCGTCCTTCGGATGAGATGTAAAACCGAGGTCCTGACTCTCTGTGGTCATTAAAAATCCCAGGGTGTTTCTCGAAAAGAGTAGGGGTGTAACCCTGGCATCCTGGCCAAATTTCCCCATCGGCTGTTATCAATCATGGCCTCCTAACAATCCCCCTCTGTGAATTGGCTTCATTACTCTTCTCTCCTCCCCACTGATAGCTGATGTGTGGTGAGCGTTCTGGCGCACTATGGCTGCTGTCGCATCATCCAGGTGGGGCTGCACACTGGTGGTGGTGGTGGAGGGGAGTCCCCATTACCTGTAAAGCGCTTTGAGTGGAGTGTCCAGAAAAAGCGCTATATAAGTGTAAGCAATTATTATTATTATAATTACATGCAGTGGCATAGCCGGGATTTTATATCTGGGGGATGGGAGGGGCAGGGGCACCCAAGTGAGACTTTTAAATGAAACTGTCTTCTGAAATAAGACGTACTACAAAAGGTGTACTACTATCGCACTCTTCCCCCAGTAATCTCTGTCTGAAATCCTGAGCTGTGAGTTGTGAGTTTCAGACGTGAGTTGAAGCATGCTGACCAAGGGGCATAGATAATGTCACTGCGCATGTACTGTCTTTCTTCATCCGTCACACACACGTCACAGGTGTCCTGTGTTTAAATTATATGTTACTCCGACACCCCTTGGCAACCTTGTTAAGAACCTGTGTATTAATGCAATATCTTTTGTATATGTTCTGCATGCCATGAATTGGCCTTTTGAGATACAGTCTCCTTCTTTTGAACAGGTCATCTTTTTACTTAGTTTTCAGTGGCACCCAGGTTTTGCATTTTTAACTCCCCTGGAATTATTGGAGAACATGGCTGGTCAGTGTGACCCTCACGTCTGCACAGGACAGATGTTTGGCCCTTCTCCATTCACACCTGAGCCTAGCGCCAGTGGCAGAGATAAGGCGCTACAGGAAGGGCTAGAGTAACTCTTGTAGACCCCACTTCAAAGTCCCCCCAGCAAACTGCAGATTGCTCCTGCCTGGATTGTCTGTCTGTACTGATTTGCTTTAGGCTGGACGTGAAAATAAAAATAAAAGCTGCTTCCACATTTTGGCACAAGAATGCAGACCAAAACTTCTCATTCACCTGACTCCAGACAACCATCTCCAAAATGCTAACAATGACTTTGTATTGGCAGGAACACCTTTGCCTTTCACGCGCTAGGAAATGGAATCTTTAGCATTTGATCAACAAGGCAAAAACCTCCAATGGATTCTTACATTACTTCCAAAACGGTTTATTTTGGATTTATGTTCCAGTAAGTACCATGGTGTATTTTGTGAGTTTTCTGGATAACGGCATTATCATCAAACAAAATAATATTGAGGAAAGCCATCTGAACCATAAAACCATGAGGTCTGCATTGGTTTATTGCTTGACCCAAACACTGGACGAGAACACACATGAGGAATGGAGAGAATCATAGAGCTTAATCAGTGGTCTATAAGAGCTACTAAAAGAGAGTGAAGGGGAATTCGAAATTTCATAAAGTATGATAGCCTAAGCCAAGAGTTAGTGTCAATATTAGCAGTAACTAATAATGTTAATCTGACATCAGGCCCTTTGATTTTACTTGTGACCCAGGTTGCTAAATGAAATCGGGAGAATCTTGGCAGTTTAGAAGAACAGAAACGTGCTTCAGAAGAGAGAGAACAAATATAGACAACTAACGGGGTTCAAACATTTGTGGCAGTAAGAGTAACTTTACATATTGGTGGTAAAATCTATTTTCTTGTAAAGAAAAAACAAGGAAACACAACAGCAGGGCCTGGTATGTTAACTAGATAAGGCTGGAGTAATGACACTGCCCGTGGATCACATCCCAGGGAGAGAGAGGCTACTGTATGTGATAAGATGTATGCACAGACCTCGTTTCTTGGCCAAGCCAGAGAAGCAGTGCCTCTCATCGGGAGAAACCCGGGCGTCGTCCAGGAAGATGAGGCGGGGCAAACTGTCCAGGGTGTAGCCAGGGTAGGAGGGTGCGAGAGTCAGAGGGGCCCCCTGGAGCACCAGGCACCTGAGGCTGGGCAGTGTGGCCAGGGCGTCCATCATCCCCACCTGATCTCCAAACCCAGAGAAGCTCAGGTCCAGAGAGACCAGCTCAGGCCTGCAGAGGGGCAGATAAGGATTATTCTGGGTGATTATTATCCATTGGCTCCCACCAGATCCTGGTTTACTGCAGCACAGCATGTTGACATGTTTCCCAAAGCATTTCCATGCTTGTCCTATGACTCGATTTCCAGAATAACCCACTGGTTTTATAGAGCTTTCCAATACCTCTCAATTATTCACTATTATGCTTACATTATAATTTCACAGTGCTTTACTATATTTTACTGCTTTTACCATGGTATTACAAAATTTGTCTAGGGAATTACTCAGTGCACTTGGTTAAGCCTGGCCAGCAGAGGTGACACTTAAACAGCTCCGTGACCTACAGAGAGGATTTTCAGAATTAAAATTAGGGATTTCTAGTCTGTCACTGGCACTGATTGACTGACTTATTTCCAGTAAACCTCAGTTATGATATTCCCTTATATACATATTATATACATCCAATTGTATACATACAATTTATAGATTCATCACATTCACCGTGTCCAGAGGATTTCCAAAATGCAAAGGTGCTGTTTAATTTCCAATTCAAGTGAGAGACACCTAATCATGTCAGATATGATCAAACTATTTCTATTTCTTCGTAGATTCATTTGCATGGACTGGGAATTAAAGTTTAATCAAATATCTTGTGTCTGTTCTGTGTTGATGATGTGATGTCCTCTGATCTGTCCATTTTTATTAAAATGGGTTTGTCTCCACCTACTGGTGAACTACAAGGGAAAGTATACAAAGTTTGCCTGTACCTGTAAATAAAAATGTTGTTCATAGGACTCACAATTAATGTTTGCTCTTATTATTATGTCCTATTTTGACTGAAGGTTCTGAGAAAAGTTATACATTAAACAAGAATATTTATTTTAGGATATAAATGAATAAGCAGTAAATATTAGATTCCAAGAGGATTAATATCAGTTTTTGCATCGTTTGCTGATCACAGAGTTCTGTAATGGTACCAAAAAAAACTACAAGAAAAAAAGTATTTTTAAAAGCTTGCATCTTCTTTGACAGCCACATATTAAGAAACACTAATATTCTTGTTTCCAACAATCAGTGTCTGATTAAAAAAAGTTGCATCAAAACCTTTCTGTTCCTAAAAAAAGAAGAAAGATACAATATCTAAAATGGTAAAAATCTATACCATCTCCTGTAAAGAAAAGCATGTGTAGTTTTTTTAAGAACTATTTGGAATATAAGATGAGAAACATTGTTGTAGAAAGACCACAGATCTTATATTTTTGATGCTAGAGATGATGTAGGATCCACAGTGTGCATTGTATTCTCAAGCACTGGTCACCACTCATTTTGAAGGCTGGGGCTGAGATTAATGTGTGTTGTGTGTTGTGGAGTACTGAGAATGCTCTGTATTGGAAGGTGATATAAGAATAAAGTTGATTGATTTATTGATTGGTTGATTAGGTTGGCTGGTTGGCTGCTTGATTTTTTTATTTGGTTGATTGTTTGATTTGGTTGATTTGGTGGATAGATACTGTAGAGGGCTGAAATAGAGATACTTCAATTCTTAGGTGTGCTCAGTTATGGTGCAGAGGCTTGAGCAATGGTTTTATAATGGTGAAAGATGAAACTCACCAGAAGGCTGCCATCAGATATTTGTAGTTCGTGACTGAGGAGAGCCGATTGTAACCCAAACCCAGGTGCTGCAGTCCAGGTGGAGGATTTTTGCAAAGACCCTTCATATCAGAGATCTCATTGGCACAAAGCTCAAGCACCTGGAGCAAGAAGATAGCATTGCTACAGGTTACCAAGAGCAGTCTCAAAGACAGAATAGTGGTAAATATTATGAGCTGAAGTTGTTCAAAATTTGATGTCTGAGGTCTGTTTTAGTAACTTAACTCTTCTCTGGTAGTTTTACTACAGCCTCATGTCAAGACTTGTTGTGTGGTACTTTAATATGGAATGTCATGACGTTCAATTATACATTTAATATAAAATTTATATAAAACAATATACATTTAAATATTCATTAATCCCCGGGCCCTTAAAAAAAAATTAATGACCTTATCTAGATATTAAAACACTTACTTTGAGTGCTCTGGGCAAGTGGTCTGAGTTTATTTCAGAGATGTGGTTTCCACTTAAGACAAGCTCTTCTAGGTTGATGAACCTGAGCAGCCGTTCATCAACAACTGAGACCTGAAATACATTGGGGGGGCATGAAAAATCAAAGCCTCCAGACCTGCTCACTGCAGTCGAATAGCAAAGGTTGGACTTGGTGTGCAGCTTACAGAAGCAAAATTCCAGTTGCAATTGCCCTATATGAACTTTGTTTTATCATACATTGGAAAGAGGATGGTTAGCAATTTCAGATTTCTTACCACTAGGTGTTTGTGTGAAGCAGCATTTCAGACTGAAGACAACAATCTGTATGCATCATAAATGACATTTCCCAACACGTTAGGAGAGGCATCAGCAAGAAACCAGGTTTTCAAGCCCCACCTGATTCTGTTTTTGAAGCGCAGAACTATTTTTTAACAGTAATAAAGAAGGTACAGTGTTTTATGATGCTTTTGGCTAAAATGCCACTTAAATCAAAAGCAAATGTAGTCAGAAAATGTTATATTAAAACTTTACACTTGACTTAGAGTTCAAGGGAAAAACCAGCTTTTTTTAATTCTTTAAATGTGGTACACACTGCAGTGCAGTCAGGAAGACTTATCATTGACATGATGTCCATGTCTGAAGCTGTTTTTTGTAGTTAAAATCATTTTAAGAATATTTTGACAATTTCCTTCTCTTAAACATTTTTTTCACTTAAACTGGTAAAATATAACTATAACACATTAAGCATAACATTGCTTCACAGATTAAGACAAATTCAGGTTTTAAAGTGTTTCTCCCACAGTCCACAGACATACTGGCAGGTTAATTGGCTTCTGGGAAAATAGGCCCTGGTGCAAGCTTGTGTGTGTCTGTGTGTGCCCTGCGATGGACTGGTGTCCTGTCCAGGGTGTATCCTGCCTTAAACCCATTGCTTGTGGGGACAGGCTCCAGCTCCCCGTCACCCTGAATTGGATTAAACAGTTAGAAGTTGGATGGATGGAAAAAAATATAAACAGATAAAATTGTGAAAAGCATTATTACTCAACCCTGCCATCTCAATACACAATAAAGGTAATCTTCAATTGATGTAAATAACCACAACATGTTTGTTTGCCATAAAAAACACACATAATCTGGTGAATGACAGTATAGGTGTCCCCTTCCACTGGAGGGTCAGTTTTTAGACAAGGTGTCCTGTCCTGGTCCTGGACTGCTGGTCAGTGGGATTGCAGGTTTTCTAGGCTTCTTCATAGCACAACAGCACCTGAAGACTTGGGAGATGTTGTCCCATTAAACCAAGGCAAGGTGATTAGGTTGTGAAGAGCTGAAAATAGGAAAGCAGGGATTGCCCGTCCCTTACATGACCTCATAGTCATTATGTTTAGTCATTAATGTAGTCACTACCATTTCCCTATGTGACGTCTGTCAAGCTGATCTTTAATCTGAGGCTTTGGAGTGCATTTCTACATATCCTCCCTAAAAAACCAATTTGTCATCCTAACATTACCCTGATGGCTATCACCAGTTGGGGAGGATGTGTCAGCTGCAGGATGACATGCATTGAGAGTCTGAGGTCGGCTGGTTTCTGGGTTGAGTTTCCATGTCTCCGGCATTTTCCGTTGGCTTACAACACAAAAAGAGAGTGGCCACTCAGCAGATCAAACTGCGATAATGATGACCACCCAGGAACTGCGTATGCTTCCCGAGTATAACGGAAGTATGCTTCTCGAACTACGCTGGTGGAGCTTCCATCTTGAAGTCCGTGTATGGACAAAATCGATCAGGCCTACTTGACGTTGAAGTGTATTTTTTAAACACGTACATAGGCAAAGTTTTCCAGCAACATAACTTCTATGTGGGAAACATACAATGGTTCACTTCGCCCTGAAAGACATACTTTGGCTAGTTGTAGCACGGCAGGAATATAGACAAATACAAACGTTTTGCCTTAAAAGCTAAGTAAAAGTTTAAGATATAAGATTAAGAAGCACCAAGCAAATTCTCATGCAACAAACAAGATTTTGATCTCAGTACATGTCCGTGTACATTTATGATCTTCCTGCCATTTTAAGATTATCAAACATTTTTTGAAAAATGAGAAACAACGCCTAATGTTACAAATCCTTAAATCAGTCTTCTGAAGGATTTCTATAGATTTAGAAATAGACCTGCATCCATGACAAGAGCTCAGCTGACCCATTTGAGAATTCCACAGTCTATTATTATTTTGGCATAATAATACAGCTACAGTACAATTAATATTGTACTATAGAGTTAGTCTAATTCATGATAATGACTATATTAATTATTTTTTACCTTCATTTAGCACATTTTATATCAAAGGATCCACAAATACTAGCTCACTTGGCATTTCCTATTGTTTAATAAGCCAACCAAGATGCCCTTTTCAAATGAAAGAAAACATCAGAAGTAAGGGAATAAAATGATCCTTATACTCACTCCCTTGTCCACAATTCGAAGTTTCGTAAAGTATTTGAAGATGAAGTCACTACAGATAGGGCCATGGCTCCTCACTGCCATCTCCTTCAGTCCCCTCTCCTGGCCACAGGCGTCCTCCAGTGTCCATGGCGACAGAGTGCCATTGAGGTATTCAATCAGTGTCTCAGTCTCTTCCACCCCTGCACCTCCGAGCTCCTGCTCTCCAAATCCAGAACTCCTTCTCCAGTCTGGAGCTCTGTTAGGCTTGTTCTGCACGAAGGAACAAAGTTTTTTTTTTAAATCAAACTCCTGTGCAAAATCCTGATGCTAACAAAACAAAAACACCAAGTGAGACAGCATTTTCTTTAATTCTATTTCTCCCTGGTTTATCAATCTGCTTGTCTTCCAAAAAGTCCAGTCTGGAGTTAAACGAAGAGTTAAACCCAAAGATATACAGTGAAGGAAGAGAGTGAGAACTGAATGTAGGCCTCTGGAGACAAATCTTAAGAAGGGTCAGATACGAACCCAGGGCCAAGACTTTGAAATTAAACATCGCCACATATGAGTAAAGAAAATGCTCCATCACAGAACACAGCATTTACCTTAGGCCTTCTGGTGTTTTCCTCGCAATAAACACAAAGTAATCTGCTAAGTAACAGGCCAGTGTCTGTTTTCTGTGATTAAATAAAAAAGTAATAAAAATGACAGGACACGGCACTAACAATGCATTCAAGACAGAATATATGTGAGAGATGTGTGCACAGCTTGTTTGCACACACAAAAAGGATTTAGCAGCTCACCCAGCTTCCTGGACCACATGGGAAATCCTTCAAGCACAGAGCGCACAGCTGCTGCTGGAAGGCAGAAGAAACATTGGAAAAGCTCATCCCAGAAAGAGTCAAGGAGGATCAAGCCATCAAAAAGTTGACCATCGAGTTGAAAAGACAGAAAATGCCCTTCCAAAAGCTTCTAGTGCATTATGTTTAAAGGGAATCTTTCTGTTTCTCTAACTTCTTTTAAAGTTCTGTTAATGCTCCTGTTCTGTTTACACTTTGACAGCGACTGAGATACAGCAGGCCAGTTCTGCATGGTTGCTAAGCAACAGAAGTGGCAGCTCCAAGACACTGATACAGTATACCCTGGCTGTTAGCTCTACTCAAAATTAAGACAGCTAAAGACTCACATTAACCTCCTTTAGTATGTTGGGCCAGTGTTACCTCCCCATCACAAACATTTTCCAATTCACTGTTCTACCTGAAAGCAGTCTTGCTGATTTGTTTACTTCCCACTAACACAACTTTTTACATTGCTTAGTGGGGGGTAATTTAAAGGCATACAGTACATTGGGAGAGCTCCAACACCTGGATTTGTGTTGACGAAGGGCACTAAGCAGCCAGGACACATTACTCTTTTAACACAATACTGTCCATGAAGTGGACTACACATGCTACATAATGATGTTGACCCTTGCTGTATACAGTTTATGTCAACGGTTTTTCCTCCCAGTGTTATGAAAACGCAAGAGATAATTAGTATTTAACGCTGTAATGTGTGTGACTATACGCACTTAAAAGACATCAGAACATTGAAAATGTTCCTTGTAAGATAATACATAGTACATAATATCTATATATGTAAAATATGGAACCCACTGTTGAATTTTGAATTGGAAAATATTTGTTCCATTTAACATCCCATTACCTGATTTTTGAGAGCAAGAATCCTTTTTTAAAGGGCATTATACAACGTTCTATTTAAAGAAAAAACAAAATATTCTGTATTATTCCGCTTTTAACCCCATTTCCCATGATTCTTCTTATTGTTAGTTTCAAACGTCATTCTGCGTGTCTAGATATGATACCATCTAATTCTATAGAAACAAAGATAGCGGTAGATTATTATATATTCTGGAGAGTAAAACATTTTGACTCATTTCTTCCTTGAACAAGTCTCAGTGTTGAATATAAATATCAGGCTTAAGATTCAAAACTTCAGAATCTTCTTCAGCTTGGCAGGAAAGGTGTGAATCCACCACAATGGACTGTGAAACAGGTAGGAATAACGGCACATAGCTTTCTCCTTCATCACTTCTTGCATTTCCCAAGACTGCTTCTAGAGGTTTTCTGACTCTTCACTTCATTTAAACCAAACATATACCATTGGCAACCATAATATTTTTAATGTTTTCGGATGACAAAGCTTTTGTCAATTGTGAAACTAAAAGACAGTCCTGAAAGAGCTTTTGGGTGAAGGCTGTGTGGATTTCTTAGACAATCAATGTGTTACTTTGATGAAACTTTCAAAACTGACTCTTGAAGTAATTTTGTGTATATTACCAAGGAGGAAAAAAAAACTTATAGCTCTCAATATATTTTGCCTCTAAGCTCCCATGTGAATGACAATCTAAACACCTCAATGTCTGATATGCAGAGAAACACATGCTTCAGGATATGGTTTCTTGCAAACATCCTTTGGTATTGTGACTCTTAAAAGACTGCAAGGCATCAATAGACCTGCAGTGTTTATGTATTTTTTGTGGTTTGGACACTAATTTCTAAGTGTCTAAATCAATATTTATTAATAAGTATTTTAATAAAACACTTATTTCTTTTATGTTTCAAAAATAAGAAACCAGTATGTGTTATTAATTTTTAGCCTTTTAATTGGACTTGAGCGATCCACAACTTACTAAGGATTTGAGACTGCACAATACATTTCTTGAATGTTGATGTCCAGAATGGAACAATTCTGTCTCCTTTCTTTCACTTTTAAGTGACAGCAATAATACCAGTCATAAAATCCTTTGAATTAATGCAAGGGGAGTTATTGCGATACGTTGCACTCTGAGGAGAGACTTACCTGTAGGTATGGAAAATCGTTAAAGATTTCTGTCACAAAAACACCCATTAAAAAAGAAGAAACTTCCAAGCATTGCAAGAAGGCAAGAAAGCTGTCATCTGGGTATGACCTATAACTTATAACTTATAATCTCTCTACAATGAAATGTGGGTTGTGCTAACTGCACTGGAAAGACATTTTGACTTTTCTGACAAAAATAACTAATTCACCTGCACACCTCTAAAACAAGTTTCGGATGTTTTTATTTTCAGAAAAAGAACCATTACAATGAGCTTCCAACAGGAATTGCTAGTTTTGAGAGGCTGTACAAATTCAGCCTGCTGACTGTAAATCAGTGATCTGCAATAAAAAATACGTCTGCCAATTGTACATGCAGGCTGCATATTTGGCCCTCATGCATGGATGAGGGCTGTTCTGTATCTCTGGTTGAAATATCTAATCTGCTTTTTTAAAGAAGCCCAAAGTTTCTCTGTTTACTTAGAAGTGCCGCATGTGTAAAATTATTTGAAAATTTGCTAGTGCTTATTATCTTGCTGGTATACCATCTGTTGTCTTGAAGGTCATGACCCACAGAAACTGCATAGCCAACAACTTATCTAAATTTGTCATTGTGATTTATTTTTCTGAAAGAAAAGCATCCGAATAAGGATGATATATAACACCACACAAAGTCTGCTACTTACAAAGTGCCTCAGTCGTAGTGGTTTGCTCATTAGATGTTCTGAGGAAATGATGTGACTCGGATACTTTAGGGCTCCTGATGTGATGTCCGCAGTGTTTTCAGCATCTGTGTGTGTTTTCTTCCTGTCCAGGAATACGGCTTCTGGTCCTGATCACATGCCTTGCTTTCACTGCTTCTGTGCCAGTCACTACAAGTCAAAGGGAAAGGGAAAACAGAAAACAAGCCCTTGCTGTACATGTTCGTAATCTGCTAAAAGAATATGTAAGTACATACAGTTTCCATCTGGGATGCTTGCCTCTTTTTTAAAAAAGAAAACTGCTGTCTGTGTGTAGTATTGAAGTTCTGCTCAATTTTTTAAAGCACGGTGACTGACCGTTATCAAACTCCTCACAGCAGAAGCACAAAAAACATTAAACAGTTTGCAGACCCACACAAATGATTGCAAGATTCACACATATTGAAATAGATCACATTTCCATCAACTCTTCAGTCAGCCAGCGGGATCACATTGTTAAGCACTTAGACGTAGACAAGAAAAGGAACCTTTTCGTCATACTCGGTAGACACCTGTCATCCAACAGTGATGAACATAAGTCATTCATTATCGTTACGATAATGAGCGGTGGGATTTTCTGTTTTTGTGCTTCCCAGGAACGACATGTCCTGAATATCGAAACCGCTCGTTCAAAGCTGAAGGGGATGCCAGAGAATGACATGGAGAACGTGGCTCAGACTGTCTGCGTGTTTCAAAAGTACCTTGACAGCATGACTGAACATCACAAGAACCTGAGCCCTGGACAGTCTTTCAACCATTCCTTTAACTTAGTCAAAAACCAGTTCCGTTCTTTAAAGAAACAGATAACACCAGCCTGTAATGATGATCACGTGCTCATAGAGGTTGCGAATAACACGTGGGAGCAGAAGGATTTAGGCTATAGGGTGCTCAAGCAGTTGAAATTATGGGTCGAGGAACTGAAAGTGGCAAATTCTTAATGAGCTTGTAAACGGGTCTTGGTACCGCTTGATTTTATGGAGCATATTCAGTAATAATTGCACATCAGCATTGAATAATTCTGTATTACTCCCAGCTACCTGCAAATTGCGAAAGAATGACATTATTAATTTTTGCAAACATTATTTATAGCAAGACCCCCCCAAAAAAACTCAATCACCTTCCAATGCCTTTGTAGTGACAGAGGTGGATTCCATTGAGCCTCTGAATTCCATTGAGAGGTGGCTCTGAGAACTGGCCTCCTGGACACCAGTGAATAAAAATAGTGGGTTTCTGGAGCCAGACACTCTATGTCATTTACACCTCCTTAATGAAAACAGATTTTTGATCATTAATTGATAGTAATGGGGCAAGATGAAGCCTCGTTAAAAATGGAATGTTATTTTATGCTGCACAGAATAATGCCACCTGACATGCGCCTCTTGCTTGAACGCATTACAGGGCAGAATGACACAAGAAGAAGAAATATATTTTTACAGTGGTAAAATATCCTGAAGCACTAACACCTCTTCCAGCAGCAACCTTAGTTTTTCCCAGGAGGTCTCCCATCCAGGTACTGACCAGGCTCACACCTGCTTAGCTTCAGTGGGTTACCAGTTGTGAGCTGCAGGGTGACATGGCTGCTGGCTGTTATATGTCATATATGTCAAAATATGTCATATGTTGACATATTTATTATTTAGAATTACAGAGCAAGGTGAAAAATTATTTTTTTTCAATGGTATTTATTTATTAAACAACATGTATATTGAAGTATTTATGATTTAGAACAACACGAAGATGAAAAAGTATATTTTGTTTTACAGTGGTATTTATTAATTAAATAAATAACTTATACAGAGATATATTTATTTTTTGTTAAGATCAAAAGGTTATTTATTACAGCTGTCCCTTTATTGATTGTATCTGTGGCCTTTCCAGCACACTAATGAAGTATTATTTTAAAAAATGTATTTCTCTACATTTGATCAGTTCATGGTATTTGATGGTCTTCCCATCCTTATCTCTTCTGCTTTTATTCTTCAAGTGGATGAGGCTCACAGGACTCGTGACTGCACTACGCAGTGTGGGTTATAAATCTGGGGGGTCCCTAAGATATAAATCTAATTCTCAGTGCCTCAGACAGAGAGAAGGACATCTCTCAGATATTCTGTAACGAACCTATTTTATTAATTATAAAAATATCAAAACACAATAAATTGTGAAAAAGGAACATGGTCATCAATGAGACTCACTCTGCCCTCTGACATTGGTAGTACTCTACTACAAGTTAACCACTAAAGAAACCCCAAACTCAAATCAGACAGATGCAATAGATACACCGTGCCATAAGGATCTGACCCAGAAGGGGCTGTGGTCAGAGCAGGCCACTGGATCTGAAGAATTAAGCACACAGAGGCCCAGATTGGTAGTGTATGGAGTTCAACTATCATACCTAGTCTATTATTCAGAACAAGTCCTCTTTCACGTACCTTTCCTGGCCAGTCTGGTTTCTTCTGCGCCCCATTGCCTTTTAGTCGTCACACGTCAATCCATTTCAAAAGGTCTTTCCCCTTTTTCAAGGAGGCTTTCAAGATATATCTGTAGATTTCCTTTGGCCCTGCCCAGTGCTCTCTGGCACCAAGGATTTAAAGAAGTAAACTAAAGGTTTAACTTCCGCTCATCGCTTGGTTTTGTTCAATAATCTCTGTTCAATAATAATAATAATAATAATAATAATATTGATTAATAATCTGTGTCATCTACCGCCCTGAAAAAAAGCAGAAATCCTGCTTGAAATGAAAAACGTCAAGACAGAGAGCAGCTCTGGGCTTTGTTACTCCTTCCACATTAGATGTAAAATGCTGCCACTTTTGTATTACTGCTGCTATTGTTGTCAGTTTTTTCATTTTTGATTTGTTTAGCTCTGTGCTCTGGCTGCCAGTGATTTTCCAGAAAAGACTAGCCTCAGAGTGGGATGTTGATGTTAAATAAATTCTTAAAAAGCATGTTTGCGTCGACCAATTAACGCTTTCGGTGTTAGGAAACCACTTCCTTTTTAAGACCAACGTGCTACCCACTTTTTGAAAATATACCCTCCACTTCATTAATATGGAGCACAAAAAACTCCTCAATGAAAGTATCATATACGTGTGATAACAGCTTGGTATCTGTGTCAGAGGTTATCACTTATCACTTGTGTTGAGGTGGTAGGTTACTTAACTTTGTTGTTGTTGTTGCTGCTGTTTTGCATTTGTGTTGGTGTTTCCCTTAATGACTTTTATCAGAGCATACATATAAAAAAGCAGTTCATTGCACTTGTGCAAATGACAAATAAACTAAACTGAACTTTTATTACTAGGGTTCAAAAAGTATTATTATATTATTATAATTATTATTATTATTATTATTATTATTATTATTATTATACAAAGGAGCCCACTTCACCAAGCCCTAACACAGCAGCAAAGCACTATATAAATGCATTAAATAATTATTGTTGTTTTACAATGCTGAGCGACAAACCTTCTGGATCCTGTTGCCTCTAATCATTATTTTTAGGGAAACAAGCAATGACATTGCTTGGCCACTATTGTTATCAGGTTACTTTTTTCAGATGACATCAACCTTTTCAAAAATCTACAAAACCCCTATCTTTTGACAAAAAGGCCCCTTTTGGAAGAAAAATCTAAAATACAGCCCTGAAACATTGGATACAGTGTTAGGTTATGGCAAAGAGACATACTCAGGACTGGTCAACTGGTCACATGTTGTCACAATTTGATATAAGCATATGTCATAGATCTACAGCTTCTACTGGTCACAATGATGGCTAAAAACTTTACTAGCCTGTGATTTTTCAAAGTAGACCCCCTGTTGAAGACAAATGTCAATCAGCATAATGAATTTAAATATATCTGTTCAATAAAATATCTGTGCTACAAAGATTTCTGTTTTCCTCATAATTACTGTGAAACTGATGCTCAGTACAAATATACAGATATACCTTCATAAAAATGTCACAGTTTCATGTAGGGCTTGACAAGCTGTCTCAAGTGAACATAAAGATAGTACTAGTCTAGTGACTCATCAGGAACCGAGCTAAAATTAATCAAGCTGTCATCACTGGTGGAAAAGGATGTGTTCAAAGGCAGAATCTGATGCAATCTGTAACTGACGTTTTAACGTCAACACCAAACACTTATTCCATTACAACCTGGTACTTTCACTTTACAGCCATTCATGGAAAGTAATCCTCAACAGTGTATTGAAACGCATCACTGCATGGCTTTTATGAGGGATGTCAAAACCGCAAGAAAAAACTGCAGATACATTTAAAATAATTTTCTAAAATACTTTTAGAAACCACAATACTGTATTCTAAACTAGTCTGAACAATATTTTAGTAGTATGTTCTTACAGTTTGCTTTTATATTCCTGTATTTCTATTACTTTTCTATATTTATTAGTTGTACATACTGATGTTTTCCGACACTCATATATACAATAAAGAAAAAAAACGTATCTGTCCAAAGAACACAAAGTTAAACGCTCTACAAAGTTGTAGCATATGCTTCTAATTGTTTTATATGCCTCATATTTCTTTGAGCTGTGAGGATTGCAGTATACAGATGTTTAACACAATCTAATCTAAACAGTACTGTTAGGTAATACTACATAATCATAGTTTCATTAGGTAATACTACTATGATCATAGTAATAGGTCAGCTCTTTAAAGAGCATTTGAACAACGGATGACACCCAAGTAAAAGAGATCATATTTAATAACATGGGGGAGAGGGAGAACATTCCTGTACGATCTGCTTCACACACTGGGGAAAAGGGAGTAATATTCAGCCTCTGCAAAAACACAGATAGGTGTGATGTTATCTTGGTATTATTTAATGTGACATTAACACTATCCTGTGTTCTCTGAGCATTATTTTGTGTTAATGGTGTGCACTTTAAACTTGGCCATAAACACAGCTATTAAATCTGAGTAATGCTTTTTTTCTATGTCCATCACTTTGTCTTCCTGGGTTTTCAGTGGGAAGAGTAAAGGATGGCCTAGCACATATTTTGGAGGATGAATGTGTGACGTGTCCCCTGCGTTTGATCAAGTACTGTAGTGATGGGATGTGTTGATTAAGAATTGCCATAGAACCCTTTAACCTTTGCTTTAGTAACCTACAGGGTTGCTAAAAAGTTTCAGGGGCTTTTTCATCTATTCTTTAGATGTGGTGGAAGATTAATAACTAAAATAACTTCCTGGAACTCTGGTAAGCCTTCCAGTGAACATTGTAAATTGCTGTTCTCTTTGCCTTTTATGTTTATGATTCTACCACATCAGAGTGATCTGTTAAGGAATCCCCTTTCATTTGTGATGTATGAGAAACAACATATTCATAAATCATTGAGCGCTACGTTTACCCATGCAGCATGCAACACTCCTGTCTGCTCATCCATGCATGGAAAGTTTGTTTCAAGTGTTGAAGCCCTCCAGTGGTAGGAAAGGGAGGCTCTGCTTCTGAAATATACGAGATTTTCAATATTATATATTTTAGAGGACGTTGATGTAAAGTTCAGCTGCTGTGTACAAATAAATGACTGAAAAAAAGGATGTTCTTGATGTTGCAAGAGATCACCTGTCTTAAAAATCACTCTCAGTCCCTCTTCAGAATTATCATCCTGTCTCACTTCTACCATTTTCCTCTAAAAGCTTTGAACACGTTGCAACACTAGCAACCTTCCACTCACCTCTTTCTGCACTTTCTACTGCATTCGAGCCTATGGGCCCTACTATCCTTTTGTTAACATTTACCGACCTGGGAATCTCTGCTCCTGGTGACTCCTGGTTCTTATTCCTGGTTCTGTTTCTATCTTACCAATCGCACTTCTCAGATCTCCTGGCACAGCTCTCTGTTGCCTCACTCACTCTCCACTGCTTCTCTCTTTAGTTTAGTTCTGCTCCTTGGGACTTCTGATCTCCCCTAATGGCTTTTTATATAACGTCTATGTTAATACTGCTCTCTTTTCCTCCATCCGATACCTTTGTCTCCTCCCATATTAATGCCTGTCTCTCAGCCATCTCCTTCAGGATGCAATTCCATCATCTCCACTTCAAACAACATCTCCATTTCTATTCTTCCTGACACATGCACCATCTCCTCCTCCTCTGCCAGA